CCACCGTGCCCAGCTGGAGTAGAATTCTTAACACGGAATGCATATTAGAGTATCTACAGAGCTTTGACAAAAGTACTATTGCCCCAAATATTTGCTTGTTCAGGGATGGAGTGATTCGAATGTACAAACAAGGTTAAGAGATACTGATTTTATTCCTTATCAGCCGCATTTGAAAAAAAAACATTAGGAACACTCAAATATCATATTTTCTTTCTCTAAAATTACTTAATTCTCACTTTCTTGACCCTTTTATCTTTCTTAAGATTAAAACCAAGTGCAGTTGAGATAAATGTCTTATCCCTGTTGAACTGCACAAGTCCTGTGAAAGACCTGAAGTAACCCTACAAAATATCTTTTGCTTTTACATTATTCTATACTTCAGAAATAATCAAGGAGATCTGTATTTGGGAGTAGAATTCTTAACATTGAATGTATATTAGAATATCTACAGAACTTTGATAAAGTACTACTGTCCCAAATTAATGTATGCTCTTAGGTGTTAGAAAAGTAAATAGCATTAAAAAAATATACTTAAAGGAGTAAATTTAACCAAGAAGGTAAAAGATCTGTCTGCTGAAAACTCTGTAACATTGAAAGAAATTGAAGAAGGCACAAATAAATGGAAAGATATCCCACTCTGGATTCACGGATTAGAAGAATTAATATTAAAATGTCCATACTACACAGAGTGATCTACAGATTCAAGGCAATTTCTATCAAAATTACAATGTCATTGTTCACAGAAATAGGAAAAAAGAATCCTAAAATTGGTATGGAACCAGAAAAAGATCTCATATAGCCTAACTAATCTTAACCAAAAAGAACAGAGTGGGAGGCATTACACGTTCTGATTTTAAAATGCATTATAAAGCTATTTTAATCAAACAGCATGGTGTTTGCATAAAAACAGATATGACCAATGAAACAGGATAGGAAGCACAGAAATAAACTCAGGTATTTATAGTCAATTGATTTTCAACAAAGGTGTCATGAACACACAATACATAAAGAAAAGTCTCTTCAATAAATGTTGTTTGGAAAAATTGGATATTCACATTCAGAAGATTGAAATTGGACCTTTATTTCACAGTATATGTAAAACTCAACTCAAAATGGATAAAAGACTTAAGGATAAGGCCTGAAACTGTAAAACTATTAGAAAAAAAATGGGGGAATAGCTCCATGACATTGGTCTCAGCAGTGATTTCTTGATTAGGACTCCCAGAACACAGTCAAGAAAAGTAAAAATAGATAAGTAGGATTGTGTCAAACTAAAAAGCTTCTACACGGCAAAGGAAACGAATAGAGTGAAGAGACAACCTGTGGATGGCGAGAAAATATTTGCAAATTATGTATCTGATAAGGGGCTAATATACAAAATACATAAGGAAATCAAACTACTCAACAGCAATAAAACAAATAACCCAACTAAAAAATAGGCAAAGTATCTAAACACACATTTCTCAAAGTTTGCTTAGACTAGAAGAATAAGCTTTGTGGCCGGGCGCTGTTGCTCACGCCTGTAATTGCAACATTTTGGGAGGCCGAAGCCGGCGGACCACAAGGTCAGGAGATCCAGACCATTCTGGCTAACACGGTGAAACCCTGTGTCTACTAAAAATATACAAAATTAGCCAGGTGTGGTGGCACATGCCTGAAGTCCCAGCTGCTTGGGATAAGGCAGGAGAATTGCTTGAACCTGAGAGGCAAAGGTTGCAGTGAGCTGAGATGGTACCACTGCAGTCTAGCCTGGACAACAGAGCAAGACTCCGTCTCAAAAAAAAGAGAATAAGCTTAGTAACGCATGCTGACCATAGTTAATGTATTGTATATTTCAAAATTGCTGAAAGAATACATTGTTAATGTTTTCACTACACAAAAAAAGTAGTGAATAAAGACATTAATTGGCTTGATTGAATCTTTCTACAATACACAGAGCAAAATATCACATAGTAACGTATAAATATATACAATTACTCTTTGTCAATTAAAAATGAGATTATTTTAAAAGTTAGAAAAGTGGTTACTATCAGGAGATGAGGGAGAAGTAACCAGAATGGGGCAGAGGTGAATTTATAGGTAAAGGCAATTTTTTGTTTCTTGATCTGGGTGATGGGTATATGGATATATTTTGCTTGTAAAATTCAGGTAGCTGTACACTTAGGTGCATTATATATAGTTAATAAGGACACGTTCTGTTTGCATATTATACTTAAAAGTTTAAAAGTTAAAAAAGAATCTTCCCAGACTTTACCTCAGACCAAACAATTCTGAATCTGTGGGTGTGGAGCCTGGGAATTAGTATTTTTTAAAGTCTCTTCTGTAACCCTAATGTGCAGTTGGGAGGGGAAAACCACTCCTATAATGGAATTCAAATTGATTCCATATAGTAAGCATATAGTAACTGGTCATTAAAGTTTGTGAAATACAAATTGATCTTTTATTTATCCACTCATTTCACAAACTTTAATGACCAGTTACTATATGCTTACTATATATTAGCCTCTGAGGATATAAAGATAAATAAGACATAGTCTCTAAAGAGCTTAGATTTGGCAAAGGAGAGGCAAATCAATAAATCCCAATTGAAAATACAAGCAAACTACTTACAAGATCCATAGGAGAAAGTGATTTGTCAAAGAAGAATTTATTCATATTTGTTCATTTATTTAAAAAAATATTTGGGTACCTATGCTGTTTGAACATAGAGATACAAACATAAATGGACAGGATCACTACCTTCAAGAAAATTACAGTATAAAGATACACAAAGAAGAAAAAATATATATATAACCTAATATCATACTGTTAGAGAAGTGTGAAAAGGGTGCACATAGGTATTCGCTAGGGAGTCAGAGAACATAGCACACCAAGTTGCTGACTTGGAACTACAATGATACAAACTTGAACTCTTCCAAGAGTAATGGGGATAAAAATTAATATTCTTCAGGACTGCTTCTCAAACTAATGCACATACGAATCACCTGGGGATTTTGTTAAAATGCAGATTCTAATTAAAAATGTGTAGGATAGGGCCTGAGACCCAGTATTTTGAACAAGTTCTCAAGTGATGCTAATGCTACTGCTTCACAGATCACACTTTAAATAGTACGGTTCTTGAGAGAGATTAGTCTCAAGAGAGAAGAGATAAAAAAAATCTCCATAGCAGAAAGACCAAGAAAAAAAAAAACTGGTAAGTAGCCATTCGATTATCAACTAGATGGCCTAGTGAGAGGAGTGTCAGTGGAATGGTGGGCAAGAAACTAGATGTGTATTTAGAAATAAACAGGAGGGACACAGGGACAGGAAATAAAACGGAATGGTTTTGTTAGTTTTTACTCTCGAAGCAGGGAAGAGAAAGGAATATGGGTTGAAGAAATTTACTCTCATTTCACAAAAAACAAGCAGCCAGCTGATCTGCTGAGTGAGTTTGAAGTGTGATGTATACATGGTGGAGAGAGTAATAAGGAAGCACTGGAGACACAGAAGCAGTGGAATCTAGAAATCCATAATAATAGCAACTTGTATATGACTATGTGATTCTGCTGAGATGCATCCAGTAGTCAAGATATAGAAATAGAGAAGGTGGGCTGGAAAGAAAGTGGGATTGCTACATTTTAAAAAGGGTAGCGACAAGGAATTAGAAATCCCAGGAAGTTAGAATAGATGTCAGGGTGCCTATTCTCTAAGGAGAGAAGCTAGAAGCTAGGAAGCGTTTTGGATTTGCATTTCCCGAGTCCTTTTATCTTTTTTTTTTCAGACAGAGTCTTGCTCTTGTCACCCAGGCTGGAGTGCAATGGTGCGATTTCAGCTCACTGCAACCTCCCCGCCTCCTGGATTCAAGCGATTCTCCTGCCTCAGCTTCCCAAGTAGCTGGGATTAAAGGCACCCACCACCATGCCCAGCTAATTTTTGTATCTTTAGTAGAGACAGGGTTTCACCATGTTGGCCAGGCTGGTCTTGAACTCCTGACCTCAGGTTATCCACCCACCTTGGCCTCCCAAAGTGCTGGGATTACAGGCATGAGCCACTGCGCCTGGCCTGAGTCCTTCTTTCAAATGAACAACTAGAGGCATTGTTGAAAATATATTACTAGGAAAAGTAATTTAAGATGACCCTTAAGTACAATTTCTAAATGCTAAAAGCTTTGCTTTTAGTGGAAATTTCTGGAAATCATTTTCATTTGATTTCATAAAGAAAAAAATTGAGGGAGCTATGCGATGACAGTGTGAAAATCCTTTTAAAGTTTTTCTACATGTGGTTAAGAAACATGATAGAGAAAAAGAATGTTATTTAAATGTAGTTACATTCATCTTATCCCCAAATAGTATTTGAAGTAAACAATTATTTTTTAAAGCAATATTATTTAAAATGTATACCATAAAGTTGAAATAGAATCACAAAGGAGATAATTTTTCAATTAAGCTAAATTTCAGGAGAATAAAATGTTGAGTCATAAATCTAACAAACTTTCATCACCAGACAGTAATTGTTCATCATTTGCTGAAAGTTATTTTATGATACTACTGAACTTAGGATGGGCATATGATATTTGGTAAATCAGACTTGAAAAGATATTTAAGAATGTTTTTAGGCCCACACATTTTTTTCATCAGCCTGACAAATTTTACTTACTTAAATTATTTGAGGAGGTCTCTTTTCTTTCTATACAGTTAATCTACTGTTCTCATTGGTATTTAACAAATACATTATTCCACGTATAGTTAATACATTATTACCTTATATATATAAACTTGTAGAGCCTTCCTAAAAAAGGATGAGAGAGAAGTAAAATGGAATTGGATCATTGCTATATTTACTTTAAGCTTGGTCTGTTTCCTTTTAGGCCCACTAACGGGCCAATTTGTAAAACTATTATATTTATCAAATATTATGAAAATAGTATTTTAAAAATTAGCTGAAGAGAGGATTCAATCTGAATTAAAGTGAAAAATATAAAAAGATAAAAACTCTGATACCTCGCACAGTAACTGACTCACCTGCGGCTGACTGATTTCTCCACTTCTCCATCTCCAGCTGATTTAACATTCGTACTCGTGTCCTTTTTTAATTTTTTTGCAATTCTTTCTCTCATCAGGTTCTTTTCATCACCATCAATATATTCATCGTGCTCTGCACTTTCATCTTCTCCATCCTGTAAAAATGGAAAATGAGTATTTGCCAGGCACTGAATTTCCCCTTTCACTTCTAGAGATCTGTTGTGTCCACTGAATCTCCTTATTGCATTCTAAACTAGGTTTGATTTTTAATTTTGTTTTCTTTGAATTATAAGCCCTGAAGAATCTGCTACAGGTGGGAATAGCCCTTGGTTCTGCTCTAAGCCAACTATGTAAGTATGGGATACCCCAGGAAAGGCTGTTTGCTCAGTTCATGCCCATCTTCCCAGTGGTTGTCCTTGACATCAGTCCTTTTTCTCTAATGTGTCCTCTATTACATTGCCAATGGTGATCTTCCTGAAATGCAAAATTGATCACAGCATTCTTCTTTTTAACAAACATCCTTCAACTGTTCCTCACTTCCTTTTAAGAAAAATTCAAACTTCTCACCATTGCTTATGAAGCTCTGCAATGAAGCTCTGGCCTGTCACCACACCCTGTTCACACTGGCCAGCTTTCACCTCTTAGAACACAGCAAACTCCCCTGCTTCAGACCATTTTGTATAGGCGGTTCCCTTTACCTTCAACATTCTTTTTCCCTGCTCTTCACAAGACAGATTCCTTTAAACTTTAAATCTCAGCTTGTATTTTCTAAATTAGGTATAATCTCTTCTTATTTCCATGCCTTAGCATACATTGTTCTCTGTCCTAGAGGGACCCCACTCTTCACCACTTTCTCTTCTGACTTAGCTAACTCTTAACTCTCATGTAAGACATAAACAGCATATCTCTTCCAGGAAGGTTTTCTTGACAAGGTCAGATATTCATCCCCTATCTACTACTGACAGCCAGAGAGAGCCTTCTCTTTTGACTGTGATAATATATAAATCTGTGGTCATGCATGGAAAGTTATATATAGCTCCTAGTGAATTATATAATGCATAGATCAATGGGTTTTATATAAAAAGTGGCATATGCATAATTTGAAAACTTGATCTCCTATGTATCAAAGGAATGTCTTCCTTCTGTTTTATTAGCTTTATTAGCCACCACAAGTAATAAAGGTCACTACAGTCTTGAATGAGAATCTTTTGAAATGTGTATATAAAAAGGGGATACTACTATAAATGACTGATCCAAGCATTTCCCATATATCATGTAGAATGCCTACACACCAACATTTAAACTTTTAACACAATAATATTATAACATCTGAAGTTTGAGTATTAATGTAATGCTATGTGAGGGGGGAGAAAAAAATGGACTAGAAATTCATATATAAGAATCTAATGTTTTAGGGATACACACACACACACACACACACACACACACAGCTAAAGAAATATTCTAATACCTAAATAGATCATTTCTATTTTTCCAAAATTTGACATATGTAACTATAAAAGTAATATAGATTACTTTTTAAGAAAAATTAATTTTGTATAAAAATGTATTTTCTATAAATTGTTCAAACTATATTTCTGGTAAAATAAATACTTACATCATCTGAATCTCCTGAGGCATCACCTTTTTCACTATAAAAAAAATAAGCAAAACAAATTTTAGTTTCAAGGTAAAACTAATAAAATTATTTTGTAACCCAAAAATCTAGAATAGTTTGCTGGGAATAATATTCCAAAAACTTATTTCAACATAGGAATTTAAGAAGGGCATTATAGAGCAGATGGAAACATTCTTTAGAATCATTTTTTATAAGTGGAATAAGTATGATTCATTAGCAAATATATGAGTTCACTAGAATTTGCAAGAAAAAAGCGAACAACAACTAACAGTGCTATTTTTATGAATACTAGTCGGCAGAAAACAATTTATTCTATTGGCTTGAAGTATTCTGGCTGAAAAAAACCCAAGTCCCTCAAATAAAAGGATGTTAAGATTGTCTTAAAATATGAGTTTTGAAAATGAGCTAAACTCAGTACAACAGCATTGTAATCCACCTTGAGATACTGGCCCAGTTTACCTTATGCAATTAAATCTAACACCAAGACATCTTCCCTTCTCGAAGAGAAGCAACAAAGGTAGCAAGAAAACTTTCTATTAACTCCTCAAGTATGTGAGAATTTATAGTTAGTGGACTGGCCCCAAACTCATAACTTCTTCACAAAAACCTTCAACTCTAATTTTTTCATTTGTGATACAATTAAGACAAAAATGCTTCAGAGAAAAAGTTAGCAAAACAACCTTGAATTAAACATTCAACTGTTAAAGTAAACAGTTTCTAATCCTAACTTGTAATGGTTAAACAATTTTAAACGTAACTCATTCAACAGAGGTAGAAAGCAAGAGTGAAAGTGACTAGAGTGTTTGTTTCTCTCTAACATGCTTGAAGTTCTCTACCTCTGTTATCAAAATGCTTTATTTTTTTGGCTGGCTTTAAAATTTTTGACTTATGAGGACCGATTGTTTACTCATAAAAGAAGAAAGAAAATTATCTGAGCCAGAAAATTAAGAACTTAGGATCATACCAACAACTGACTAACCTTTCTACCACAGGAACAGAACTGAGATGTGGATCATCCTTAAGCAAGTCATGACTACTTTTGCTTTTGCCCTTCATGCTCTGGAAAAGAATGTACAATATAATCATGAGTGAGGAAATAAACAGTATTCCTAAATGACAAGTTAACAAATTTACATAAAATCTAGCAATGACATAATAAGAAAAATATGTATAAGAGCCTCTTGAGCATGAGAATATTTATCAATGAACAAATATTTATTAAATGCTTTAATTTCAAAGTTCGCGTTTTCAGCAAATGTACATTTGAGAAGGGAAACAAGACATAAAAAGGTATAAGAAGCAGCATTATAAAACAATTACTGCTGCTATTAAGTATTAAGTATATCCTTTGTGTTAGTTACTGTGCTCCAAATAGTCCTGCTACTCCTCTCTTCCTCTCTCCCCAAATTAAAGTATATGAGGTGGGAATTATTAGCCCCATTTTACAGATAGTTAAAGAGATTAAGTAATTTTCTAGAGGGCACAAAACTAGTCAGTGGTAGAGGATCTAGGGTTTATACCCAGGTCTGTGTGACAATAGTACCTATATATCGAAAATCTAAATGTATCAATTTTTCTTTTCCTCTAGGCCCCTATGAACCCAGAACACTGGCCTGGTTTCAGAGCTGTAATCCCCTGTTCTACAGATTTCCCTACTGTGGGATGAGACACCTCAAACTTACCTTTTATCTTGAGGTGGGAAGCTGCTTACCACCCCAACTCCCAACTAATCATGTAAAAGGAAATAGTAAGAGATTAGAGTTGACAGAAAGAATAATTTCTGCTTTGAAACATTTTGAAGACAATTTTATTCAGAAAAATTTATTATAAAATATGCCTGGTGCCAGTAATCCCAGCTACTTGGGAGGCTGAGGCAGGAGAATCACTTGAACCTGAGAGGTAGAGGTTGCAGTGAGCTGAGACCATGCTACTGAACTCCAGCCTGGGCAACAGAGCAAGACTCCATCACAAAGAAAAGAAGAAACAAAATATGTTAACTAAAATGTTTAAATGTTAGATACAGAGAGATGAAAACACCTCTTTCCCATAAGCTCCATTCACCACTTTTAATCTGAAAAACAGGCTCTTAAAAAGATTTAAAAAATTTTTGTATTAATATGGAGCTCTCCATAGATTTAATCAATTAAAACATGCTTATAGTGCAATTTCATAATATAAACTTTCTCCAACAGTTCATCTAAATATTATTCGTAGTTTTAGAAAGTAATAGAATCTGAATTATGCAATTAATCTATATTTCTAATTTCATAAACTTACTTAAACTAAGGAGTGATGAAAAAGCAAAATGTCATCTAATTACTTGTAACGTTTGTCCAACTATGAAAAATGGGGGAAAATATTCACAAAACAGAGGGTGGTGTAGTAGAAAGAACACAGGACAAGAAAAAAGATGAAGGCTGGACCAAATGAGTTTCAAAATCTAATATTCCACAATTCTATGGGGTTTAGTCCAAAACATGTACCATTTGTTGAAACACGGTGATCTCATGAGACCTCAGATACATTGCCCACAAAATTGGAATAATAATAATAGCAGCCTTGCTCATTTCACATAAGAGAATTGATTATCTGCTAAAGTGTACAGTGAACATCAAATAACTTAAGAATAAAAGCCTGAACATCTTTTGTTCATGCTTTTCTTCCTTAAAATTCCTTCCTCCTGCATCTCTGGCCATCAGATTATCTTCATCTACCCTCAGAAATAGTCTAATATGTAATAGACAATTAACAATTTACTTTACAATTAACAATATAAACTAACATTCACAAAGAAGTGAAATAGTATTGTTCATTAATGGACCAAGAGCTTACTTAGAGATCTGAATTCTAATCTTGCTTTTGCTATTTATTAGTGTAAGTCATTTTCTGATCTGCGGACTAAAAGGCCAGGAACCTCTGTTCATTGTTAATGTATTTTAAAAATAAGTTCTGATAGTGTATTCTTGAAAATCACTAAGAGATTTTATGTTTCTCTCCATAAGAAATGATGTCTGTGAGGTAATTTATACATTAATTAGCTCCATTTAGCTAATTTTAAAATTGATTAATTTTTTAAAGAAGGTTCTTGTCTTCCAAAACTTACTTTAAACAGTTGAAAGGAAAAAAGGAAAAAACTTGTTTTACACTAACTTAAAATAAGACCTGACAATAGAAGGAAACTGTGTTTAATTTTAACAATCACTACCAATTAAAATATTAATTAACATTTAAAATGGAATTAGTATAAAAATACATGAAAAAGGCAAATTTTTAGACTCTGGATCCTGCAAGGAGAGAAAGCAAATTGGAGATTAACTGAAGAAATTAGGAGACAATCCTAAAGAGGATGAAAATGAATTCAGACATTTCCCTTTAATGCCTATTCTTTCTGAATGACCTACTTTAAGGTTCTTACTTATACCATCAGGTAACAACGAATTTAAAGGAAGAACAAACACCAAATATCTTTATAAATGTTTTAAAATTGCTTAAAATAAGTTGGCTAATTAAGAGGTTTAGCTGATGAATGAAATACTAGATATACTTAGTAAATTCAGTGTTAGGAGCTTCATAGAAAATTCAAAACTATCTGCAAACAAATGTAAAAATGAAAATCAGAGGGACACAGAAAAAAATAAGTTATCTGGCACTTTATATCCAAGAACAAAGAGGCAGCAAAACAGTAGGAACTAAATAGAGTACAGGTAGAAGGGGGCAGAGGGAGAGAGAAGAAGGAGTGTGGAGAGTGAAAGGGAAGACAGGGAAAGAAAGAGAAGAAAGAAAGGAAGGAAGGGAGAAAGAGAGGAAGGGAGTGAGGGAGGGAGGGAGGAAGAAAGAAGGGAGAAAGAGAGGAAGGGAGTGAGGAAGGAAGGGAGGGAGGGAGGGAGAAAGAGAGGAAGGGAGTAAGGAAGGAAGGGAGGGAGGGAGGAAGAAAGAAGGGAGAAAGAGAGGAAGGGAAGGAGGAAGAAAGAAGAAAGGGAGGAAGGCAGGGAGGGAAGGAGGGAGGGAGGAAAGAAGGTAGGGTAAGGAAGGAGAGAGGGAAGGAGGAAGGTACACAGGAACAACATTGGCCAAGAAGCTGGAAGGTCTGGGGCTCAATCTCGAACTCTGTATGGACAGTTAATTTTATGAGTCAACTTGGCTAGGCAATGGTGCCCAACTGTTTAGTCAAACACCAGTCTAGAGTTGCTATGAAAATATATTTTAGATGGGATTAGTATTTAAATTAGTAGGCTTTGAGAAGGCAGATTACCCTCCAAAACATGAGTGGACCCCATCTAATCAGCTGATGGCATTAAGAGCAAAAACTGAAGTTTCCCAAGGAAGAAAAATTCTGCCCCAAGACTGTAACAAAGAAACCCTGCCTGTTTCCAGCCTGCATATTCTGAACTTATCAACTATTTCCTGAGTCTCCAGCTTGCTGGCCTACTCTACATATTTTGGAATTGCCACCTCCCACAATTCCATGAGCCAATTCCTATAAATAAAGAGATAGAGTGATAGATCAATAGACAAACGGATCTATTTTATTCTCATTCTCTCTCACACACACATTCTATTGGATGCTTCTGTTTCTCTGGAGAACTCTGACTAATACACTCTGAGACCTTCAGCATAGAACCAGAAAAACTTATTAGTTTAAAAAGGGAATTTAGAGGCCACAATCTGTTCTCCCATGCAATGCAGGAATCTCCTTGACATCACTGCTGACTAGTCAACCATGTCTCAACACCTCAAATGAGCTTATTAACACACACACACACACACACACACACACACACACACGTGCACACACACACACATGCATGCGCGCACACACACACATTTCTTTTTAAATGGCTGCTATTATTAGGAAATTGTCTGAATGGAGAGAAAAAAAAATCTGTGTGTATTTTCCAACCATTCAACCAAGCCTACTTCTACCTTCTAGAACTACAAATAAGGCCTATTATTAGGCATACTATAAAAAGTTCGTTTAGACATACATTAGACAGAATAATGGGTCCCTACAATGTCCATGTCCTAATCCCTCAGAACCTATGAATGTATTACCTTACATGGCAAAAGAGACTTCATATATAAATGAAAAATTCTGAGGTAGGGACATCATCCTGGATTATCAAGATGGGTCCAGATGTAATTACAAGACTCCTTATAAGTGAAAGAGGGAGGCAATAGAGTTAATTTTAGAGTGATGCAGCATGGAAAAGACTTTACCAGTTATTGCTGGCTTTGACGATAGAAGGGGCATGCCAAGAATATAGGCCGTTTCTAGAAGTGGAAAAAGGCAAGAGACTAGATTCTCCGCAGAGCCTCCAGAAAGAAGGCCCTGTAAACTGATATTTAGCCCAGTGAAAACTACTGCAGACTTCTGATCTCTAGAAATATAAGATACTAAATTTGTTTTGCTTAAAGTCACTAAATTTATGGCAATTTGTTAAAACAGCAATATGAAATTAATAAAATATGTTAGTACCTTTGTAAAATTAGCTAAGTCTAAGCAACTAGAAAGACAAGCAAATTAAAGTTGAATACAATTTGATGAGGCAGAAACATTTTACTAATTACACTTTTTAACATTTCTGACTTCCTCTTTGCAAACAGCCTAGCAGCATTCTCCATGCCATGCCCATCTCCCAGGTTTTTTTGGGAAAGTTTAATTTCATAAAATAAACTAGAATAGGACAAAACATTCTTAACTTTATTCTCAAAAGTGGTGAAACTGTCTATCAAGATAACTTTTTCTGGGTGAGGAAAAAGCCCTTCTCTAACTCTGGATTTAAAGTAAAAATGTTAATATGTCTTACAGGGAAAGAAATACTTTGTGTGTCACTGTGAGTGTCACACAATTGATTACTGTACAAAAATCTAGCTATTGAGATACTTTAAAAATGGGCCTGTTTAACTTACCACATAAAAACTAGTTGTCTTAATTGTAAGCTTTAACTTGAAAAATATTTCCTGACATTTGTATTTAAGTTATATGTAAAGATTCATGAATAAATTTTAAACCAATACAGATGTTTGAATAAAAGTATTGTTTAAGAAAGCAACATGAG